CTTCCCCGTCCCTGAGTCCTACTGCTTCCCTCACTCCAAAGGACCAGATGATCACTTGTCGCCATGTTGAACATGGCCCGCACGGAAGCCAAAAGAACAACAAAAGGAACCCGAAAGGCAACCAAAACCAAGCCCCAAACTTGGTGGCGATTGCCCTCCTGCAGAAAGTTTTGCTTGTTTGTTGATTACTTGATCATGAGGAAAGCACGCCCCCCCCCCCCCCATCCAAACAAATTGCAAACAAATCCAGCAACTGACACCATCCGCTCGCAGAACTTCTGCGCAGTGTCTGACCCGAAACTGGGCGTCAGGGCTGCCGTTCAGCAGCTGCATGGTCTTAGTCGAAAAGCGCATGCCGAGGACCTGGCCATCGGAGACAAGAAACATGTTCCAGCATTGCAGCATCTCTGCAGCATGGAGCTGGCAAGGGTGGTACCCCGCCAGAAAATGGAAAACAAGATTCATCCCCCGGCCGAATCGGACAATACTCGCAATTGGGCTACAAAAAAAGTAGGGTAGACAGCCAAGGGAAACTGCCATCCCTGTCTGCCTTACAACCAGACCTTGGTGCTCCCTAAAGAGGAAGTTGTTTCAACAAATGCTTTTTGTTCAAATGTCCCCCTTTCCAACAATCATGGAGGCTGACCAAAAAGGCAGTTGAAGACAAATTATAATCCCCTTGTCTATTTCCGTGATTGTGGGAACAAGGTCGGGTCAAAATAAGGGGGTCTGAACAGTTTCACGATTGTATTCTTTTGGAATCCCTTTTTGAGCAAACTTATGATCTATGTTGCACCCAGGCAAACAAGGAGGGCCACACCTGAGACCGGCACACCGCAAGCGCGGTCTTGCCGACAGACTGGTCCCCCACCAGGACCACCTGAAGCGGGCGGCCGGGATTCGGAGCCTGCAACAAGCGATTATCCTTGTTGGGAACGGAATCCCCCTTCAACGGATTCTTTTCTTAAGGGACGGGATTGGAGGATCAGTTTGGATCGCAACAGCTCAGACTTATCAACTTTATCGGACATCTCGAGAAAGGCTCTTTCGCAAACCACGGAACTGCCTTTCGCCAGCCCAGCCCCCACACGCAACACGACTTCAAGGATCACTCGCCGGACCTTGAACTTCGGAAGCCCGAGGGATACCTCAGGGCTTGCTAAACCGAGGGATAAGGGGGGCATCGCGTCTGCGCCTGGCTGGTGCCCCAGGCCCGCAGCCAGCAGTCCCTGCCGAAAGCTGTGCATCCCAGCCATCGCCATGAGCTTCGAGTCACCTTCCTACAAGGACGTGGGCAAAAAAAAAAACTACAGTGGCGACAGCAGCGCTTGCCAAAGCCGGCCACCCAGTCGAGTATTGGAGTGTTGGATGTTTTTGGCTGCCTGCTGCAGATGCTGGCTGCGGGCTGCTGGCTGCTGGTAAACGGCTGCTAAGCGCCTGGAGTGAAATATGCGATGGGCGTGCTTTAGGACATGCCAACGCTGAGATTAAACCAACAACAGAACCACAAACAACACGGCCCAAGGGCAGCACACATGTCGCCTTGCCGTGCGTGCACTCCGTTGTGGAAAGCGGGCACCTTCTGTGAATTCGCCACTACTTGATCTCCTGAAATGGTCGTGTGACATCACGGAAAGTGGCCAGAGGGGTTGCCGAGAAATTAGGGGCTCTGTTTGTCAACCCACTTAGAAGGCTGCAAAAGACAGCACCACGTCGAAACATGTGCCATAGGTTTGAACCCCAAATCAAACCTGCTTTTCCATGAACTGCTCAGCGCTTCTTCTTGCCCTTCGGCTTTCCGCCGCCACCGCCGCCGCCGCAGGCTGGGCAGGCGTCGAACTGCTTGCCACCTGCCAGTTTCCGTCAAGGGGAGTAGGTTCGTTCCCAAAGCCACTGCCTGAGAGCGGAAGGTGCGGAAAAGGCTTCTTTTGCAGGAATCGTCTACGGACGTTTTGCGGCTCGTCTCGCACCAGCGACTTTGTCGTCTATCTTATTCTAAAAACGAGGCAAAAGGCTGTTCCAAACAATTTACGGCTTTGTTGGTGTGTGGCTGCACGCGATGTGTGCATGCTTTCCTCCTCCCTCTTGCCTTTGAGCGTCAGGTTGTCCCTCTGAAACTCTTGGCTCTCAGGTGGAATTCTGCGTTGCCAAGCACCTTTTTTTTGATGTGCGGGCGTGAGGTTTTCTTTGCACTGCGAGTTTCTCTGATGTTGAATTTTGCTTTGCAAAGCACGGGACGCTGTTGACATCTGTTGACATCTGTTGACTGTTGACCTTACCATCTTCTGGAGGCGCAGGAGCACAGGCAGGACCTCGCTGGCCCTGTTCAATGCTTCCCTCTTTTCCACCACTGGAAGGCAGACTTTGATAAGTGTGATTGCAGAATACAACATGGCACCAGGCAATTGTATGTGTGTAATCTTAGGAGACCCTACACATGGCGGTTGTCCTCTTGGTTTGCCTTTAAACCGCTCCCCAAAGTGGCATCCTCAAGAACACAAAGAAACACAGCATTGTCCATGGATCATGCTTCCTGCTGCCTTTCCCCCTTCCGATCGAACAGGAGTTTTAACGGAACACCGTCAAGAAAGCGGGAAAAAAGGAATCGCACTTGGTGCTAGCCTCGCCTCCCCTTCCAAGCCGTGCTCCCGCCGGAAGCCTCGAAGCCTCTCCATGCCGCGCCTTGCTGGAAGCACTTGGTGCAGTGGTAGACCCCGTAGCGGTACTCCCCATCGCGGCCGCAGAGGTCGCAGGTGTACTCGTCTCCTCCGGTTTCGTCGTCTCATGCCCCGCAAAATGAGTGAAAACCCTTAGAAGTGGCTTTGAGGCTTTGAAAGGGCAAATTAAGGCCTTCAACTACTTCGGCAAGGGTTCCTTTGATGGGGCCCGGCGCCCACATTGGGAGGGGGCCTGTTGGGCTTCCTTCCCCAAGCAAAATTCAGATACTGCCGGCTTCAGGGTACACGATCTTCGACCTTGACACGAGTTCTTACCACCCAGCGTCAGGGGTTCATGACCTGACTTCACTCTCTCACCCTCGCAATTGTCATAGCCATCGCTACCCAGCTCAAGTACCCGGGTTACGGGCTGGACTTAGACCCCCGCAAAAGCTGAACATAGCTCGGTCACATGAGAAAATCACTTTCATTCCTGGGCGTTTCAAGGTTAGGAATAAGGATTAGCCTCCACAAAGACCAGGGGTTCAAACCCTGGTCCCAAACCACCAAATCACCAATCCAAAACACCGAATCAGAGTTGCCTGACCTGACACGCAGCCAGCTGTTCGGTCCGTCAAACTTTCGGTAGTCTGGCGGCCGCGCGGAGAAGGCGGTGAGCTCATGACCCTTGGGGCACTCCACCTGCGCCTCAAACAAAAACAGGGACAACTTGGCCCACAGGTCTGTGTTCAAAGAGGGACCCCCCCAAACAAATATATCTTCCTTTTGGTGTCCCTTTACAACAAGGTGCAAAGGGTAGCTGAAACAAAACACACACCCCTTCCAGATCCTTCATATTTAGCTTCCCTAACATACGTCATGTCGAGGAGGCGCAAGGGCAGGGCAATCCGGCCCGAAGCCACCGGGCTGGTGGAACTCACCAGTTTCAAACATCAGAATTCCAAGCGAAGAGCCTAGTTACCAAAGGCCAACTTGTGGAAAGAAGCTGCTCCCATCCCCCAACCTAAGCCCGCACACACAACACGAACAAAATCAGCGCCGAAGAACCTCACAAGCTCACAAGTTGCTCTCGAAGGCTTCCACAATGCCCGTGAAATGGATGAACATGGCGCATGCAACTACTAGACAAACATAAGAGACAATGAGGCAAGGCTCATATACTACTGTCTGAGTCTCGCACTCGTGGCTGATTATTTCGGGATATGTTGGTGCTTTTTGCGGCCAAAACGGCTGGCGCAAGCTTCACCGCCGGCGCCCGAGGCTTCGCCGGCTCGGGCTCGCCTCGATGGCAGAAATTTGGGTGAGGCTCCAGTGGTAAAAGGCCCCCAAACAAGAAGGGATCCCCACAATAGCAAGCCTTAGGTTTTGCGCTTCAAACATCACCCCGGCTCAAACGCCCCAAAAGTTGTTTTTTCAAGTTTCTTTCTGCGTGACCCAAGGGCTGAGGCAGCAAGACTGTGGGTTTGGCTTCTGTTTTTGAGGGCACCCTTTTGGGATGTTGTGTATTTTTTGGAAACCAAAGGGAACACCACCATAAAGTGGGGGTCCCCATTTCAAGACACACCCAAATCCCCTCGCAAAAGCGAGGGAACTTGGAAAGATGTCCCTCGGCAGTGTCTGGGCTTCAACTTTTCGAAAGGAAGCGAAAGTGGGCCGCGGCCCTCCACCCTCCGCAACGTTCCAATGCAAAACCCGAAGAAAAAGCAAGTCGGACCAACAGGGCGCTATGCAAACATCCAACAAAGGTCCGGACACAACAAGCTTTTCTGGTACAGCTCCCAATTGCCAGAGTTTTCCATGGACCGAGACCTGCGAAAACCTTGTGCTGGTGACCCTTTCGAGCAAAACACGTGGTTGCCCTCTGATTGCTAGCCGGGAGGGTGTTCAAAATGGAGGGCGGCAATCCCAGCCAACCCAAGGAAGGGTTGAAGGGTTGCATTTCGGATTGCCTTGCAACAACCCAGATATTGAAGGACTCTAAGGCGACACTCCGGCTGCTTCCACAAAAGCAACCAAAGGGGCGAGGTTAGTCACAGCCCCAAGGGCCAAAGCGCTGTCCGAGTCGGAGCCCACCAAGGCCTCTCGTTCCTGCGGCTAGGTCAGGGCTCTGCATATGTCCAACCGAAAAACATCACCCCTACCAGGGGAAACTCGCCTGCTGGCCAAAACGGTGAGGCTCACAACTACCAGCAACGGGCAATATAGGAAGTGATAAAGGGGGAAACAACTGCCGGGGCTTTTCCCTGGCTTTCTTTCCGAGAATGGACACCTTGGTGATTGTCGGGCACGGGGGGTACCAAAAAGCTAAGAATACCTCTAAGCCCAGGGATTACGAAACCAAACCCTCTAGTTGAGTGAAGGAATCTTGGACCATCGAAAACTTGATGCCGGCAAAGGTTGCATGCGTTTGCCTGGCAGCTGTTCTCCTTACCCCCCTTCAAATTCACATGGAGCCCTTTTTGGGTTCTTTTCGTCAATCTGCAGGAGATTCAGTCTTTCACCTGCCCGAACTTGCAGTGCTTCCAGTTACCCCTAAGCAACCAGCCACCTCGCACTTTCGAACCGCCCGGAAGTCGCCCAACGATCCGCTCCTCCGCGCTCAGCATCTTCAGCTGCCGCCTCAGCGCCGCCTTCTGCTCCGCCGACTGCGGCGCCAGGCCGCGGATGCGGCGCAGCTCCTTGCGCCTCGCCGCGTCACCTGCGAAAGACGGCAGGCCGAAACGGGCGGCACCTGGACGCGTGGCTTTTGTTGAGGGTACTCTTTTGGGGTTGGTTGCACCTGACACCAACATGCAAAGCACAGATCGTGGGGCTTTTCAAATTTGAGACAGCACAGATCGTGGGGTTTTAGGTGCTGAGGCCCAACACAGGATCGGCGTACCCGTTTGTGGACCGCAGCCCTTGGAACAAGCCAACAAGCTGTTTCCGTTCTGTTTGAGGGTGCTTGAGATCAAACCCCAAAGCAGACATTGTACGCCTTACTTACGACAAATCTAACAGAAACCTGGTTTGGAAACTTGCAACCAAAGAAGGGAACATGTTCAAGGGGCCCATCCTTCAGACCATGCTATCCCTGTTTTGGGGGGGGCTGAGGAGAAAAATCGCACCACCAAGGCCAAACAGCAAAAGATGCGCAAACACTACTCTTTGTTCCCCAAGGGGGGTGCTAAGCCCAAGTCTCCCCCCCCGCTCCCCAAAAGGAGAACCCTGCCGGGGGCGGACCCTGGGTACCCCCAAGCCCGAACAGCCCTCGGGCCTGCCAGGAGGTCCTCCAGGGCCTCTATTAGCTCCTGGCGAGGCCGAGTTGGTTTGGAGCCTGGCTTGGCCTCTCAGAGCAATGGCAAGGGAGCCAATCTGACGATTAGGAGCTTCTTAGGACTAGTAACGGCAATAACCTTTCCATGGTAAGAGCTTGGTTTTGTGGACCCCACCCCCCCCGCCCCCTTACAGCAAGCAATAGCTTACCAACAAGCAAAATTGTCCATACTCCACCCTATGGTTTTCACGCCATTTCAAAAGCGCCCCGCAAAATCTAACATTAAAAAATTGCATAAATCCCGTAAAAATCAATCCACCCACCAATTGTTTTAAGTTATTCATAAAAGCATAACTTAAACCAACTCAATTTTCCTTAACCTCATTCTTTTTTAAATTCTCAATATGCTTATCTGTTCTTTCATGTCTTGCCTTGTTGCATGTTCTGACTTCACAATTACAAACATCGCAATGATAATTTTTTTGTCTGTATGCTTTTTCCCTTGCTTTTACTTCTTCGTTTTGCCTGTTTTCTCTCCTCCTTTCATTTACTTCATCCCTTCGTTCTACTGTTTGGCGATGCCATTTGTTCCTTCCCTTCTCACGGCACTTGTCGCAATTTTTGTAGGGTTCCGTGAAAAATTCCACACGCCTATTTCTTTGACAACCCGAGCAATATTTTTTATCCATAATCCTTACATAGTAAGGCATCATCCCTTTAAATGGTTTTAGACATAATCCATAACATGAGCTTAGGGGTAAGCCCCCTGTCCCGAAAAAACCCACCAAACAACAAACCAAACAAAAAACCAAACAACCGACCATACAAAGGACTTTTACAAACCCTACACTTTCAGCAATTCATGCCTCAACAATGGTCTGGGTCTTCCATTTACATAATAATATTTCTGCCCTAATTTACTTTCTATTCTTTCAACTGTGAAGACTTCTTTTAACCAATGACTTGTCTGTGCTTTTTCACTTCTTCCCTTTTTCCTTAATATCTTTACCCGACTGGACACATCTAAATCAGGATACACACGGGTTTTTCTGGCATTCATTGATATATTCAGTTTCACTTCAAACTCATTCTTTTTCTTCCTTGCTTCTAATGGTGTCATTTTCGTAACGGAACTTACTAATTTATTATTATATGTCAATAATATTTCTAAATTGTAATCAACCCATTGGATGTCTTGCTTTCCTCTCTTCTCATCCGCCTCAACTCTTTTAAATAACATATCTTTGTAGGTTTTTATAAATCTTTCTCCAAAAGCAGGGTGGCCTCTCGTGGTGTGTAATTCAATTTTTTCCTCATCAAGATAATCTGTAATGGTAGAACTAAACAAACTACCTTCTTCGTCGCTGTATATCATTTTGGGTTTTCCGCCCATTTTCTTAATGCCTTCCATTATGCCTGCTAATACGTCTGGCGGTTGCTTACTTGCAATAGGTATTACAGTAGCATATTTACTAAATATATCAATTAATATTAATCCAATTCTAAACTTTTGATTTTCCAAATCATTTTTTGAAATAAAAAACAAATCTAACTGAAATTCCCAGAAGGCATGAGGAGCAACAAAACTATTCTGCCCTCGCATTTTCCTTTTTTCCTCAACATTCTTTTTAAAGAACTCATTAACATCGTCCGCAGTAATAGTTTTATCTTTCTGTCTGGCATCTTTCAACGTTATTCCTTTACTGCCATAACCGCTTTTGTCATAGTAAATATCACTAATTATTTTTTGTTTATCCATATAATAAATTAAGATTTATTATATTGATAATATTATTTATAATTTAAATTCAGGATAATAAGTTAATTGATGATTATTAAATTGTGTATATATCTTACGTCTGTCATGCATCAGTTCAAAAATAATATTGATATCTCTCACGGTATTTTTCACATTAAACTTTTTGCTTTCAATATATGATTTAATGTCTCCTTTTAAATCAGACCCGTCTCTCCTACGATTCAACAACATCCATAATATGTGGTTAATCATTTCATACTTTTTCTTACCGATTTTGAGAAATATTCTAACATAACTATAAGGTGGTCTTTCATACACAGTTAAAAATATCAAAATTTCATCTCCAACATTTCTATTATTTCTTCTTTCCAAATTTAAATGATATCTGATTAATTCTTGATTATTTCTCCATTCCTGACAAATTTTACATTCATCTTCTTCACCCAAAGCATAATCAATAATATTATTAACTATTCCATTAGGTAAATTCATTTTGTATAATTCCATATGTTCTTTTTTGAAGTGGCAACAGTCATAGCATTTCTTATTGATATAATTATTTACTTCTTGTTCCTTCATTACTCTCTACTATATATAGGTATTATTTCTTTAAACCTTTTTTAGTCTAAAACTAAGATTTTAATATAAAACATATTAAAATCTTAATGAGCTGAAACATTACAATATACACAGAATGAAGTTGAATTATCTATATGGTGAGCGATTGAATTATCAAGGCGCTGACAAGTAAAATTGCTACATAATTTACCTTTCTTCGCTTCAAAGTTAAATGAAGTATTACACTTTTGGCATCTGGCGCGAAACTGTGATAAACACCATTCAGCGCTTATGTATTCTTCTTCGGTTATCTCTCTCTTTGCCCTCCTGTCTTGTATCTTATAATTTTCTACTTTGTTTTTAAAATATCTCATTATCATATTTTTATCCATTTGCTTATCAAAGTCTGGATTACAATAAAATTTAACTTTCCTAAAATCAACACAGCGAGTCAATGCCGTCCATATCCACTCTCTGCTGGTTATGGGTAAGTCCCATTCGTGAATAGTTATGCTTTCCTTTACGCTTGACCCCTGGCTTGAATGACAAGTAGCACAGTAAGGATAGATGAAGTTTTTATCTACAATAGGTTCAGACAACATAAACTCATCTTCTTGTCTTGCTATATTCTGTAATGTTATTTGCTTCCCTAATTCATCATCTTCTATCTTTGTAATCCTGTATCTCAAATTGATATTAACCCTTGGTTGTTTAATCCATGTTCTGGCAACCAAAATATCACCCACTACATATTTCTCACTTATGTTTAATCTGTCTCTAATCTCATTTGCTACATTTTCGCATCTCATATTGGTATAAGCGATATTATGCTCTGATGCCATGATGTCATCGGTTAAATAACTGTATTTAAGTATAAACTCTTTGCGTGGAATGTTGTTTTCCCACCAGTCATTATACATATCATTTAATATTTTTCTGTTTCTTTCTCCTTCTGCGCTGTCCTTTGCTCCTACTCTCTTACATATTTTTAAGAAAATATTATATTTAAACATTGTGTCTATACAGTTGTCAATGTATGTTGCGGGGTCTTGGCAGTTTGTCATGGTTTCCACCCCTTCTAATTGTTTTACATCACCAGTAGCAATTCTGATAATATGAGTGTTGTTTTCCATAAACTGCCAAACTTTATTCAAAGTGTATAAATTCAACATATAAATCTCATCAAACACTATTACATCATAAGGCGAATAATCATAAATTGGTAATTTCTCTCCGACATCTTCATGAACGGCAATGCTAAAAAACTTGTTATATGTTGTTGCTTCTATTCCTTTATCTTGTATTTCTTGTAGTTGTCGGTTGGTAGGCACTACAAATAATACATTCTTATTCATCTTTTGGAAATGCTGACCTATATAACTCTTGCCAGTGCCCGGAAATTTACCCCTAATAATTACTGGATTTTGTTTAATAACTTTTTTACAAATGCTTTCAGTATTCCATTCATCTTCAATAGAAATATTAATATTCTTAATCTTCGGTATTTCAGGTAATTCATTAAACTTATACTTATATGGTTGGGTTGGTAATGTTATAGTGTGCTTCTCTTCAAGTCTCCAGTCGCCTATCTCATCACCAAATTTCAGCAGTCCCTCCCGCCATTTTCTTAAATAAGTATATCCATAAACTTTATCCAAATCGTCTTCGTGGATAGTTACGCTATCTGTTTTAATACTATACACTTTAATATTACTATCAGTTAATGTTTTATATGTTTCATACATTTTGAAATTATGGTATTGTAGCAAAAGCTCTTTGATGTATGTAAAACCGTTGCTCAATACTTTTTTATCTGAAACATTCAATACATAATATGTCATGCCTTCTGTATCATTTACTCTCATTTCATCATCTTCTAATTCTTCTAATTCTGTTTGGTACTGACCGATTGTATAGATTTTACTGTTTGGATTCAACTTTTGATAATAACACGCCTCCCTCAATGAGTTAAATGTGCTACTTTTCTGTGATGTGTTATGAGATTTTTCCAGCATACCGATGCTGATGTTTGCTACTTTCTTTTGTAGTTGCTTATTTAAATCTTCATTGCTTGATATGTTTGTAGAATAGAGTTCATCAATTATTTTCTTGTAATTAACTTTATAAACATGATTAGGTTGTTTGTAATATAATATCTTCAACTTAATATCACGCTTTAACAACTGCTTTAAAAACTTACCGTAAATCAGATTATATTTCTTGTTAAAAAATATGTTTCCCTCATAGACTTCTACAATGTATAAAGTTAAATTATTAAGACTATTAATATCGCAATTTTGAGTAAAGGGTTTAAACACATCAAACTCAGTAAATCTTGGGATGTATTTGATACAGCACCCGCCAAAAGTAAATGCCTTTCTAATGTCAATCTCCCTCAACTTTTTAATATTAACCTTATTATCAAAAATCCCAACCGGGACAATAGTTTTACACTCCTTCAATATCTTAATATCAACTTCATTGTAATATGATAAGTGGATTTCCTTAAACATGTCCTTTTGAAATCGGAACATAGCACTAACAATACTATTATATGTGTCTTCATCATCAACTGCCACATCTTCATCAATCCTATCTTTTGATAAACTCTGTGATACAATATTATATTTAATGTATTTTTTGAGTTTTTTGTAATAAAACTTACACATAATATTAGCAATTTGTCCGGAATTGCCATATTTAATGTAGGGTTTGTA